TCTGTCTGAGGTCATATATTCATGGGTTTATCAAGATTTCTTTTTTGAGGTAAAATTCAGTTGAATAATGGAAGACGTAGAACGGAGTCGAGTTCGACGAGAAATTTCATCATCGTTCAGAATTAATGCCCTTGAAGCGAAAAAGTAAGTGTTTATTTATCTACCCTCTGTCTTCTTCTGAGGTGCATTTTGTCAGGGAGGTTTTGGATATTTGCGTGGAAGCAATTCATAAATTCGATAAAGAAAAACGAAAAAAGTGGATGACGAAGATTGTAGAGACCATCAGGAAGCAATCACGTGAGTAACATGAGCAGCATCTAATACCGCATCACTTCAACACGCTTTTATTCTTGTGGCGTTTTATAGTGTCGACATCGGTTGTCACTCAGGACGTAATACGTGAAGTCTTTTCGCAAATATCTAATCGTGGAGCACAGCAGAGGTTAGTAGGAATGAAAAACTGCTTTCACTGTACTATTGCCATAATCATAGAAGGTTCGGCGCATGGAAAGACACTCAGCAAAAACTTACAAGACAACATACAGACACTTGCTTTATGTGACGTAACTGTTTCGTGAATTTGAAGTGTGTTCACCGTAGTTTTTACAGCACCTCGATATTCAATGTATTTGATTCCTTCTCTATACGTCGATTTGTATTTGACGCTAATTGTCGAAAAATGATGCTTGTTGACGAGTCTCCCAAAGTAATATCTACGGTGGACAAGGCAACGGATGCAATCAGGCACAGATTCCAGCTTGTGACTCAGGTATATATCTTATGGAATACCATTTCTTTTCATTCTGTTATGCATCAAATTACCTTTTACAGCGAATAGCTCGGTGTAAACAACTGCAAAGCATCAAGTTCAGTACAATCGAGTCTCTCCTAGGTAGCGCCAGGGTGCAGAACGATGTCATTGTTATTGGCATGCTCACGCAGCAGAAAGTATGTTCATTTTAAGGTTTTAATGGGATCGGTTCAGTATTCGTGAATGGTCACCGATATGAGTAGAAGTTGCTTTAAATTGTTTCTCAAGACTGATACGTAGAGCACTATCATTTGGGCATCTTTTTTGGCTTTCTCAAACTTGAAAGGCTGATGTCGGCTACATGTGACTTTATATGACCCTTCCTGTGGATATAAAAAGACTAGACTGGAATTTCCACTACGAAGCAGCAAGAAATGCACAGAGAATCTGATTTTCTGATGTCACTTCTCTCAATCTACTTCTGTTCTTGTCAACGGACGCTGGGATAGCTGCTCTATCCCGAAGGCCATAGGCAGACCACATTCGTGCTCTGTACCAACTGGAGTGCAGAGAAGAAGCCATAACTTTTCACAACATCCATAAGTCTCAGAGGGAGGCTAGGTGGACAGAAGAAAAATAGACTTGCCGCGTGCTACGTTTCGTGCAAATTTCTATCTTGTTTTCAATAAAGAATTATGAGAAAGGACATCATAAATAACCAATTTATTCTTCAGAGTCATTGCTATCATATAGAAGACTTAACAGGATCAATGCAAGTGGAATTTAGTGAAGAAACTCGTTTCCAACAGGGAATTTTCACCGAAGGAAGTATAGGGATTTTCCAGGTACTGTCTTTATTTTGCAAGATTATACTGGTGTTCTGATTTTCGCGCTATCCATTGCTTATTATCTCTCACATGTGATTCAGTTGCAGTTTGCGAACAACTAGTTTATTTATATTCGGTTCCTCTCCGGTATCCCTTCAATAGTTCTTTGGTAACTGGCATAAAGCGACGAAATGTAATAGTAGGCTACCAAGGTTTATTCTGTACGCACTTTCCGACGTGAAGAACCAATCCCTTTTCTTCATCCGCCACTTCATTTTCAAATAAGCTTGGATTCTTAAGGGTCACTCTTAATAAGGAAGTTTACGCCCGGTAGGTCATCCTGCCAGAGATTTGATTGAAATGAGGCTATCAATAACAATGCCTTAGTTCGAAGAAATTGACACTTTTTTCTTTTTGTTCACTGCTCCTTTTCTTAGTCGGATTGGTCAAAATCGTTATGTTGTTCAGGGTACGTACGACTCATCGTTGCTCACTGTTCGAGAAGTCGCATCGGTACCTCTGGAATCAGCAGAAGAGACACGTGCTGTTTTCGGTAATGCGAATTGGTTCGGCGGTGATGATCCCGTAAGTTTGAAGGGTTATCTTAGAAGTCGTCATTTCACTTATATTCCGCCTCATTCTTACTTCTGCTTTTAGATTGCCTTCCGTTGTAATCCTAAGTTGTGTGTAGCCGAACGAAGCAATCCAAATGCTCAAATTGTGTTTTTGTCGGATGTACACCTGGATAATCCCAGAGTATGAGTGCTATTTTCAAGTCTGCGATGATTCTCAGATAATGTTATTCTAATTTTTTAGGTTATGCAAGCAGTATATCATATGCTGTCAGGGTTTTCTGCTGATGCTCCTCTGGCTTTCATTTTTTGTGGAAATTTCTGTTCACGATCGCGGCAGCGGGATACCATGGAATTACTTCATTCAGGTTTTCGAAGGTAAACTCTCAAGAGTAATTAAGTTTTTTTTTTTGATAGAGCACGCTGTTGCAAGCCAACCTCGCTTGTTTCGATGTCTATATAGGGACTAATGCCTTACCGCAAGCATGGTCATAGCGGAACCTTCTTAAACTTCGTACTTTTTTTGGCCGCAATGGGAATTCCTCGTTCTTGATTTCTATCAAGGTTTTTAAATGTGAACAGCCGCTGTTACACATCTCATGGTGGAAGGTTTACTGTAATGGGTCCACACTGAAAAACCCATTCGCTTCTTTTTTGTTTTGGCCCATGGCACTAGCTTTACTTTTGTTTTACGTTCAACAATGTGAACAATAACTTAACCTCGGTTTAGAATGGCAAATCAATTGAATGACTTTGCATCCTCTTTCACATCCACCCATTTTGTGTTTGTTCCCGGCCCGGACGATCCATGTTTGAATATGGTATGTTTTACTAGAGAGATAGGTGTGTGGTTAGGTTTGTGTTTTGTAATGATACAATGTTCAGATGTTACCCCGTCCACACCTTCCAAGTGTGCTTTTCAAATACTTTGAGCAGATTCCAAACTGTATCTTCGCAACGAATCCTGTCCGGATACAGTATGCTAGCCAGGAGATAGTTGTCTTTCGAAATGACCTCATTGAAAGGATGTGCAGGCTCGTTTCTTTCCAACGAATTTTGGCTCTTTTTTTTCAGAAAGAAAACGTGTCTATTGAGTCGCTGAAAGACTGACATGATAGGGACCCAATTTTTCTTTATAGGCATGCCGTAAACGCTGTATCATCTGAAAACATTCCGAAAAGCTTTGCTAAAACTATTTTGAGTCAGGTACCAATTTGTATCATATACTTAATGAAGCAGTTACCATTTTCCCTTTACTTGAAAGGTTTTTTCTCCAATGTTAGACATCTTTATTTCATCTTTCGTGTTTCATTTTTTTTCGTAATAAACTCTAAGATTTTTCTTGTATTGATTATTGTACTGCAGGTGCATCTATCACCACTACCGGCACATGTCTCACCGGTTCTGTGGGAGTTCGATCATGTGATGAGTTTACACCCATTGCCCGACTTACTTGTTGTTGCCGACAAATTCCGGTCATTTGCTGAGCTGCAAGCAGGTTGGTATTGTTGGGTGTTTATAGACAAAAACGGGTAAGGGCCTTTATTCCAGTTAATGGAATCGGGAATTAATGGTAAACGGAGGTTCGAAGGATTGAAGAGTGCTGCTGGCCATTTTGCTAAAAACTCGCAGTTTCTTTTGTAATGTGTCATAGACGTCTCCACTGTTTGAGATTTCTCGTCTTAGGCATAATACTGTTACATACCAATACCAATACCAAGTGGAAGGTCATATTTTTACTTTTCTCATTTTT